GATGGACTCGGGGAGGCTGAAGCAGGCGCAGCAGGATGGCATGGAGGAGACATGCATAGTTTGGTTGTTTGTGGTGTTTAGTTTGCTTGTTCTGTCTATCCCGCTCTCTCTCTCTCTCTCTCTCTCTCTTATACGTGTGTGTTTGCGTGCACGCCACAAATTCCATACATGTGCCTCCCTCTATGTGTATAGATAGACGCACACGTATTTCACAATCTCTCTCCACTCCCGGGTGCCACATCCCTTTGGAATTACACACTATGAATATAATTATCCTCTCTCCCCCAAAGACGGCGGTGAGGTGTCCGGGCCTCCTCCGCGATTTCCCTTTACACACAGGATGCCGCCGAGCTTATAATGAATATGTGTTTTTCCAATCCGAACGTTTCAGTCCCTTCAGAATGGCGCTCCCGCTACAACGTTGGCTCCATTTCCCCATTCTCGGTCCTTTCCAAACATGTTCCCGCTGTAGCGCGGACCTTCAATTTATGGTACCAGGTCTTTCTGATCGTGCTCCTGCTGCAGCGTTGGCTTCGCCTCCGCATTTTCAATCCTTCCAAATCGTGCCCCCACAGAAGCGCTAGTCTCATGTCCGCGGTGCCAGTCCTGCGAAGTCGTGCTCCCGTTTCAGCGCCAATCTCGTGTTGCGCTTCCCGCTTTCAAAGCCGTCCATTCGCGTTCCGTCCTGTGTCATTTCCGGTTTCTCTCTGACCTCGTTGTCGAAATGAGTCACGTTCTCGACGCGATGCCATGTTATGCCGTGCTATACCATGCATCGCGTACTATCTCGGGATCCGATCATTGCCTTGTTCGACATCAGACTGTGCGATTAGAGAGGCAATATACGCAATAATAAGGGATGGGAGGGAGGGGTAGGACGTCAGATATGACGCTTGCGCATCTAGCTTGTCATCTTCCCCTCTTTCGCTCTCTCACCCTCCTATACACGATTAGGCAGATGTAAATGTTCGATCTTCAAATCCATATGTGCATCTCTATTTATCTCCCTCTCTATATATATATATATATATATATTATATATATATATATATATATATATATATATATATGTATATATATGTATGTTCATCAATCTCTCGATTTGCATATTCATTTTCCTAGTCATGTCTCTATCGTCCTCTCTCTCTCACTCTCTCTCTCTCTCTCGCTCTCTCTCTCTCTCTCTCTCTCTCTCTCAGTAGTTATATCAGAGTGAGGGGGCCGAACGGTGTGTGCGGCTAAAGTGGGGTTCCGCGGTGCGGATTGTTCTTGCATTGTTGTTGATGTTGTTGTTGTTGTTGTTGTTGTTGTTGTTGTTGTTATTGTTGCTGCTGCTGTTGTTGTTGTTGTTGGTTGTGGTTGTTGTTGTTGGTGTTGTTGAACATTATTCCTTCTAAAGAATTATTATTGTTGGGACCCCTGGTGCGCGACCTCTGCGCCGCGCCTAGGCCGCAGCTACATTTTCATCATTTTTTCGCGAAAGCTTCAGAAAAGTGGATGAGCTCCGGATCCGGTTTTTTGTTGACGCTCGTTTTCCCTTGCAAAAAACAATAGAAAATGAAAATTCTTGTTTTTACTTGATCAAATTGCAAGAATCCCTTGCAAAAAATAAGGTAAAGTGGACATTCGTGCGCGCAAGACGAAATCCTTCCAAAACCTTAGGTTTCGTAACGATTTTAACATAAAAACATCAAAAACCCAATGGTTTTCTCAGAAAAAATTGTCAAAATGTCCTTCCGCGCGCTCTTGCGGATTCCTAGGAAACCCACCAGATTTTAAACATTTCTGTTAAAAGGGCCTTTGCGAGGAACCTTTTCAGGTGCTTCGACCTTCTGCAACAACGGTTGCGAGCCTACGAGGGCCACCATCCCTTGCAAAAAATGACACGAAGTGCACATGCGCGCGGCCGCCGCGCGCGCGTGCCGAAATCCTGCCAAACATAATGTGATTTCAATAATTTCAAGATGCGATGTTCCGAAAACATATGCAAACGCAAGACTTTCTCATCCGAAAAATATCAAAATCCACCCGCGGGCTCTTCATGAATCTTTAAAACCCAAGATGGCCCCAAGAGGCGCTCAAGATGGCCCCAAGAGGCGCCCATGAGGCCGCAAGAGGCGCCCAAGATGGTCCCAAGAGGCCCCAAGAGGACTCCAAGAGGCCCCCAAGAGGTTCCAAAGAGGCTCCAAGTTGGCTCCAAGAGGCCCCCAAGATGGCCCCAGGAGGCGTCCAAGCGGCTCCAAGAGTCCTCCGGGAGGATCCAATAAGCCCCCAAGAGGCCCCAACATGCTTTCAAGAAGCCCCCCAAAGCCTCTCAAGAGGACCCCATGCGGCGCCAGGAGGCTTCCCCCCTTCCCCAAGAGGACCCCCAGCGGCCCCAGGAGGCTTCCCCCCTTCCTCTCACGCTCATATCCGTAGCCATCTCGGATCAAGGTATCGCCTGTGTTCTTGGATCATGGCTTTGACGGCGAAAGACCTTCACGAGCAGTATGGCGCAGAGCTGTCCCGGCCTCCCTTGGCCGACTGCGAGAGTGCGTATTATTTGCATCAGGCGCTCGCGGCAAAGGGTATCAATGCCAGTCACCAGGCGTGCAAGACTTGGTGGGCCAAGTATCGGGTTGTGACTGGCAAGGTCAGTATTTCTAGCGCCAAGGAGCTGGAGGAGCAGCACGGGTCTGCCATCCGCCACCTGGGCATCGAGTATAATACCGCTTACAAATTATGCCGGGCGCTCCGACAGTTGGATCCACCACTGTATGTGCCAGATAGGGTCGCAACGGCGTGGCTACTGCAGTATTCATCGAAAGACACGCTTGTCCAAGTGCAGAACGCTGGCCATCTGGAGAGCTGGTATGGAGAACGTATTCGCAAAGACATGCCCGAGGGGACCACTGACGGGGCCGTCTTGAAGCAGTGGCTCCTTGGACATTTATCTGTATCTGCTAACGCCAGGGTATGCCAGAAGTGGCTCAGCACGGAGTGGGGCGCCAAGGGGGCACTCAACACTGCCCGAGCTGTGGAGGAATGTATGGGCGAGCGTCTTCGACTCAATCAGTATCGGGAGAGCTTCGCCGACGATGCCGCCGCGGAGGTCCTCTCGCAGCTTCTCTCGGGCCCGCACGCGTCACGTGCATCGAGAATCATGGGTATGGCAACGGCGACGGAGGCGGCGGCGGCGACGGCGAGGGTGACGGCGGCGACGGCGACGGCGACGGCGACGGCGACGGTGACGTATCGTCCTCAGCCTCAGTCTCCGCCTGCCTCAGCACCAGCCTGCCTCAGCGTCGGCCTCAGCCTGTCTCAGCCTCAGCCTGCATCAGCTCAGCGTGTCCCAGCCTCAGCCTGCTCCAGCTTCAGCTTCGCCCTCAGCCTCGGCCTCAGCCTGCGTGAGCCTCTTTTGCTCTCATGTCTATCATACGTTTCATGTGCTATACGTATCATACATGACACGGGGATGTGTGTCAAAACATGCCCCAGAAATGTGACCAACTCTGGTGTGTATGTGTCCCATGGCTAGCAGACGTATCATGTGCAATATGTATCATGTGCAACACGGCTCACGTGTAATATGTGCTCCGAGGGCTTTCCCACGGAGTCGCCAGACCCATCTGGGGATCTTGGGAGGGCCTCCCAGGGCCCTGTGGTTATGTATTCTCTTTAGGCCTTCGGCCCCAGCCGCCAGACCTCTCTGGGTATCTGGGGGGTTCCCAGGGCCCGATTGTCTTAGTTTCTGTGACCCGATTCCCAGGGGAAGTTTATGAGGGCGTCTGGGGGGTTCCCAGGGGAAGTCTATGAGGCCTGTGGATTCAAATAAAAAGATGAAGTGAGTATGCCTGCTCTGGTCGCATGTGCGGCGGCGGACTTCGTCTTTCCGACGGCGCTCGCATGAGTGTTCTGCGTGTACGGTCGTATGGACTTTGGCATTTGGGCACATGTATGCGGTTCGCTTCTGTTTGTACGTAGCGGTTTCTGCTCAAGCCGCTTACTGTATATCGCGAGATCGTATTCACCTCCATATTGCCGGCCTTCCGTATGGCTTCCCAGATGGCCGGTCGGCTCGACCCCGTGACGGGCGAGTATTACCCAAGCGATGATGAAGTGCGCTACAGTATGGAGCGCTGGCACACGCCACCCAACCACGAGGCGTATGCGCGGCGCTGGCTCAAGCAGTGTGGCTCGGAGAGGTGGTTCGCGTGCGGTATCTTCTTCCCTATTCTATGGGAGGGTGTCAAGGGCGTATGCCTCGCCGTATCGAGCGTTATGTCCACGAGGCAGTCGAAGACGAACAACGACCCGGACTACCAGCACAGTATGGGGGGCATCCCCGAGCCGGAGTGGCTTTACTTCGACGCCTTCTTCTACGCGCACGCGGTATTCGGGAACTTCTCGGTATTCCAGGATGAGAGGCTTGGGAAGCCCATTGGCTACCTTCTGCACGTATTCGACACGCTGTGCACCGCGCGAGGTATCGTCGCCTGGAAAGCCAACCTCTTCGTCCACCCGGGCCAGTGGGTGTATAGCAGTATGCGGTATTTGCTCGGTCAGCTCGCTATTCCCATTCATGCGGAGATCGTATCCGGCCTCTCCTACAGGGCCCTCGCCACCTTGGACGTATTCATTGCGTATCACGCGGCCTTCATGGGTACGGACCCGCAGAAAATGGCCATTTGGAACGTATCCCCTGAGGTCGGCCCAGAGATGAAGTATCCGCGTCAAGACCAGTGGTGGTGGTTGCCCGTATGGCGGTCTTTTGGTCAGAGCGACGAGTATCCGAACATGCTCGATTACCCGGCCTTGCCACCGCAGGTCCACAACGTGCTCGCGTTAGCACTGCCGTATGCAAGCCCCGGCTCTCTCGCCAGCAGGCGCATCGGCAATATCATTGGGCATTTGGGAGCGCACGGGTATCAGCCAGGCCCGCACCTGCATCAGCCAGGCAGCCATGTACCCAAGCGCCTTTGCGACGTCGCAGACGACGAGTCGCCTTAGTATGCTTCTGGGTGAGTATACTCCTACGTGTGACTGGACCTGTTTGCGAAAGCAGGA